AGACCCGCAAGCCAATCAACTTGGCATGCTTCCACGCCAGAGGCGCGCTCAGCTTGGAATCCTGGGGGCTGGCAAAAAACATGCCTGTCACGCCACAAACTATTCCCTGGGCACCACACGGGTTTCTCCAGCAAGGGCTTCATTGCCAAGTTGATGGCCGCCTTCAGAACGTATGGGTGCCTCTCCTGCATGGTGGCAGTTGCGGGGAATGAAGACAATTTAACATATCACATCAGTATAATGCGCTATGAACGCGGTCCAGAACGGGTTGGTGAAGCTGTTGAAGAGCTTGCCCAAAAGCGTCTGGATACTGCTGGCTCTGTTTGAGCCGTGGTCCTCCTTGCCTCAAAAGCGGTGTTCAAAGCATGCCCCCTCAGAATTCAAGCCAACAACTTTCCCGTGCTGTTTGGGCCCCTGGCACTTTAAGCCGGCCGCGCGTGTCTCGGCGGCGCACCACCATGCCCTCACCGGTTTTTGCAAGTCTCAATCGCAGCTTGATGGTCAGTGGTCGGTACAGGGATTCGATCCATGGCCTCAAAATTGATGTTCACCAGTTTCGCATTCGAAGCAATGATGTGTGTACTGGAAGCAATGAACAAACCACTCTGAGGACTAGGCGCTGTTCCCATGCCCAAGCTGGGCTTGCAACTGAATCCATTGTATGCCCCCATCCAACTTAGCAAGCGCATCAATGAGAATAAACTTCAATTTCAAGCTGGCACGTGATTTGTTTCCAGGCACAACTGGGAGCATGGCAAGAAGCTTTCATACCACCGTGTGAAGTGGAACTGTTCAATGCATTGTTTGAAGTGCACATAGTAGGGGTGCAGGTTCAGGCATGAGCTTCGCGGCTGCTCCACGAACACCCACGCACCTCTGGCCGTAGCCAGCATGCAGAGTAGCATGAGTCGACATATGAGCCTCAGCCACAGGAAATTCCGAATCTGCCCAATGAAATGATTTCACCGCTATGTCTATGTGTTAACAGAATCGGTGCGTGGGGTAGCACATTCTCAGCTGAGGAGAGCACACGTTGGATTCGTACACATACCGCCGGGATTCTTCAGCTCCAAGTGGGTTTTCTCGGGATCTCTGACTTGTGTATCTGTTCAAAAACACGAAGCTTGAGCAGGGTGGTCCTGCAGTCATTAATCCTGACTCCTTCAGTCGAAGTGTTTGACGCACTGCAATAGCAAAGCCCTCGGGCGACAGCAAGTTATGGGCTCGTGGGCGTTCACGAATCTCATAAAAGTCCCTTAGATCGTTGTTTGCAGTTGCAAAGGGGCTGTCAAATACTGATCTGGGGCGCAGGCGCTCTCATTGAAGCTGCGTCTCAGCCGTACGCCAGGCAAACTGTTTTTGCGCTTGGTTTGATATTTTTTAGCAAGCAGCTTGAGGCTTTGGCTGAAGGCTCGCGAGATTGATCGGCCGCCCGCAAAAAGATCCAAACAGCAAAGGTCCTGAGCAAGTACTTGCGCGGCAAGTGGCTGGCAAGTGGCGTACAACTGTAACATGAAAAGCATCGCGCATGCAGCTTAGTCTGGACAACCATCCCCGTTTGAGAGTCGATCCCAACTGGGCCACGCATCGACATTCTTGGCACCAGGCACGGCCCATGCTGCTGGAAGACTGCTGCGCGCAGTAGTCACACATATCCAGCCTCGGGCTGAGCTGGTCATGTGATTCTTGATCAAGGGATGGAGGTGCTGGAAGAAGGGTCTTGAAACAGGGTACTAATTTAGTACCCATTTGACGGTGTCGCTCAAACACAAATAAGCCCTATAACCAGAATCGAGTGGTGGATGATACTAATTTTGTCCCCGTTTGACGCTGGGTGGATCGGGTCCAGGGTACTAAATTAGCCGCCATTTGACGCTAGGTCCGCAAGTGGTCGGATGGAAGAAGGGTCTTGAAACAAGGTACTAATTTAGTACCCATTTGATGGAATCGAACTTGAGCACAGGCTTTTGCAGTACGGTACGATGCGAGGCCCCGGCAGAGTAGGCGGTGCCCCCCAGAAAAGCAAAATGCTTGCCGTCGTGACACTCAATGCCAGGGCCGAGGTGCGCCATTGCGGGTTCACCGTGTTTGGCATCCCTTCTACACCCAGCTAATAAATGCCAAATCCTTGATTTCAGATCGAAGACTCGCATGAGGTTGCCCCAAACAGCACAGGTATCAATCCTCTCGCACATGGCAAAAAAGCACAAGCGCAGTAACTACTTTTCACATGCGAAGGCAGTCCCACATCTAGGCTGTGTCCAGCCAGCAGGTCAGTGAGTCCTGAGTCGGGGCACAGCGTTGCCAGCCAAGCCCAGGTCGGATTTGGATGATGCTGAGGCTCAGTCCGGGGCACCCAGTTGATTCCACAAAGCGCCTGGGCCAAGCAACTTTCCCACCACCCAAAACTCCCAATTCAGGTTACCATGAGAGCTGTAATGCCAATCTATTGGTTTTTCCATGAGCAGGTGCTTGAGGCCGGCGCGTAGTTGCGGGCAGATCATGAGCTTGCTTTGGGCCTTGGCAAGTTGCAACATCAAACTTATGTCCTAAGAGCACGAGCGCTAGCACTAGAGGCAATGACGCCAAGGGAAGCCATCCAGCAACAAGCCGTGCAACCATCCACCTTGCCACGGGCACAAGTTCCATGTGGATGCAGGGAAGTGACGTCATGACCATCAAAGTGTTTAGGCTATTTACGGGTTCTTGAGCATGTGGCCACTTGACCCTTCAGCTCTAAATCGAGGTCGGCACGCATCGTCAATGGTTGAGAACCTGCCCCACGCCACTGAGCAACTCTTGAGCTTGTTCGCCTGGCAATGTGTGTAGTGGCAATCAACCAGCTTTCAAGCCCACACACGCGCGGGCCTTCAAGTCAAGTTTCCATTCGCTGTTTGTTCGCTCCATCAACTCAGTGTTCACACTGTTGACGTAAAAGCTGCCACCGTTGAGAAGCCTGAGTGCCAGCGCAAGAAGTAAAGGGAGCCAGCGCAATAGCCAACACAATGGATGATATATAAATTCAAGTCACATCACCGCAATTGAGCTATCTGTGTTCGTTGCGCACGAAGGGGGTGGCTTCATGGTCCATGACCTGGGTATTGATGAGAGGAAATGGTGATTAAGCTTGATGGATTTCGATCATGGGAATTGGTGTTGCGGCCAAATGTCCAACCGATTGTGTTCAAATCGGCAGGCACTTCGATGTCCTGTCCCTCGGAGTCGGCGAGAGTAATCACTTGTTCTTGCGGCCTACCAGGAGTATTCAGTGGTACGTTTAAGAAACAAACTTGGTAAATATAAATGCATGCATGCCGAACCCTGCCTCTGCGGCCCTAGACTTCTTGTTGACGGCCCCGGAGGCCTGCGGCTAGCTCTGCGGGCTGGGAGGCAAGGTGGGGGGCTGGGCCTGTGACTGGGCCTTGCGTTTTTTCTTTCCCTTGCCCTCCGGCTCCTGGCGTTGGATGGTCACCCCACAAGCCGCTCAAGTGAAATCATGCAAACACCAAAAGTATATTATCATTTTCAAGCTTATAATTATATCCCTCACTTGACGCTGTCACTTTGGCCTTCGCATCTTTTGCCTCCTTCTCGAGCTTTGAGCTGGCACTGGGATCCTGCCACAAGTCTCACGTTCGAATCCTCATGTGACATGACCGCAATAGTTGATGCCCGAAAACTCTTGCAAACCAACCCCAAACCGAATTTTCGGGAATCAACAACTAACGCCCTAGAAGGAACTAGTCCGGCCTCAGTCGCTTCGGCATCGGGTGCGTGTTGCTCCTGTCACATTCAGCGCGACATGAGTGGGCCGCTTGAATCCTGAGTTTTGAAGAGCCTCGTCCTTCTTGTCCACCTGCCCCTCTTGAATGTCCTGGCAGCAGAGCTACCGGTTTTCCCCATGAGCCCGATCTAGGTTGAAGATTTTGGGGGAGCGCCTCGTCCTGCTTGTCCACGGTCTGTTGAATGTCCTGGCAACAGATATGCTGGTTTTCCCCATGAACCCGATCTAGGTTGAAGATTTGGGGAGCGCCTCGTCCTTCTTGTCCACGGTCTGTTGAATGTCCTGGCAACAGAGCTGCTGGTTTTCTTTTGAACCCCGCAGTGAAGATTTTGTGGGAGCGCCTTGCTCGCGTTGACGCCGACCTTGTCCTTCTGCTGATTTGCTGCCTGGCCGAGCAAATGCAAAATTAAACCGGCCTACCAGACCGAGAAAAGCTTCCTGGGATGACCTGGCCTTATCCACGCAAGCAGTACCCTCATGAACCTTGGCTATTAGGGGGGGCGCTTCAGCATTTAAATGCAAGTTAGGCTCAGATTCTGTTTTTGTTCTCTTTGAAGATCTAGCCCTACCACGCCCTCGGCCACGACCACGGCCCCAAACGCCAAAATGCTGCCTGCAGGAGAAACATGCAAACAAATGCAATCTTGCAATCGTACTCAGATGCGTCTCAATTCGCCAACGCGCATGTCAACATGCCATTCGTGTCAACATGTCCCATGCTTGCGCAAAGCCAGAGGGGGGTGCGCGCCTTCTGCCAAAAAGCGCTTGCGAAGCGCTCGCTTCATGCGCCATGAGTGCAGGATGGCGCAGGTTTCCACTCCACGGTCGGATCGATTCGATCTATCTGATTAGATCAGTTCGTTGTTATGTTCAAGAACTCTTGTGATATATGTTGTGTGCTGTGCATGTATGTAAGCAAGTTGGGCCGGAAATCAGCAAGCAAGTGCACAACTTGTCCCCAAAGAGTAAACTTGTCCTCAACAAGTAAACTTGTCCTTTTCGTCAGGCGAAGTTAAACTTGTCCTAAGAAGGGCAGGGGAGGGTTGATTCCCCATTTTTTCAACCATCGTTCTTTCCGAAAACTGGATCCGTTTTCCCCCTGGGTGTCCGGAGGTTTTCTTGAAAGAAGGATCAATAGAAAGAATGGACACGGACGGTACCCCTATGGGTTTCTTTTGAGACCCAAGCCAAAGGCCGCCTCTTCCATCCCAGGCGCTTCAGCTGTACATAGCCTTGACCCCCAGCCTGGCGGAAAGAGGTCTTGTCCTGCGCGAAAGCCCCAAAGCCCCCCGTGCCCTCGCCACTCCGATGGTCTAGCCCAGTTGCCCAGCGACCGAGTGTTGGTCAACCTAGAGTCTCCGTGACCCCTAGCAAAAGGGCCCATTTGACCCCTTTCTTTTGGGCAATGACCAACCATTTTTCAAGGGTCAGAAGGAGAGTCTAGGAACATGTTTAACGGGAAACCCCACGTGACATGCAACCCGGGGCTGACGACATAGCCCAGAAGTGACCTTGCAACTCTTCTCGAGCCTCCGAAACTGGGCCGAAGAACAAATGGGCTGGTCCAAAGAAAGAGGAGTCGTGGCCCATGGAGACTACCGGAACCTAAGCTGGCGATTGCTTCAGGAAACCCTGGCCTCAAGCAACCGCCAAGACAGCCTCCCGAAGACTCCATGAGATATGGACAGGATGAAGCCTTGTTCTGGGTACGGCTCAGAATTTGCATGTTTAAAGGGTCATGGAGAGTCTAGGTACCAGGCTTCCATGTTCAATATCTATTTTAAACCCACAGCCTTCTTGGTCCGTGCGCATCGCTCGAATCCTGTAGTTCCCCAAGTTTGGTCCAGCTTTGGATACGAGCACTCCAAACCTGCAGGGGTGTAGCCAACATCATGTGAGTCGCAATCAAAACCTGGTACTAAAATGGTCGTAATCCCAGAACCATGTACAGGATTGAGAAGGCGAAATGCCGCAGCTGTTTATGGTTGGGATCGTCGCTTACTAACCTTCATCTACCCGCATTTTGATTGTGAATCCAAGCGGAATTCTGCACCCTTCGTGTGGGGTTGGGACTGTCCCTTACACCTCACCTGTGCAATTGTTTAAGGGGCCGAAGAACACGCGTTCGCATCAGCTGTTAAGCACTCCACAAAAACCCCTCGCACTGCTGGATCAAGCTTTGCTGAAACAGCCAAATTAGTCGATAGAGAAAAGCTGTAGGATCAGTAAAAGTGCTGCAAAACTCGGACTTGTTGATTAACTTGAAATTCTGCACTCTACCTAGACTCTCCATGACCCTTAAAAATGGTTGGTCATTGCCCAAAAGAAAGATTCGTGTCATAACCAACCATTTTTAAGGGGTCATGGAAAATCTAGGTACATATAGTTTATAACACCATGAGCAGATTCAATATTGCCGTAAACAATCGAGTGGCTACCCAGCGTCCTGGGGATACATCACGGCCTTGAAGCTGAGCATCTTGCCGTGAGGGCCCTCGATCTTGAACTCCGGCGACACCAAGACCTCGCGCGCCATGCCCGCTCTCCGCGTGATCCGCGTGATTCGCGCAGGCGGCGAGCTGGGTGTTGAAAGGTGGGACTTTGTGAGGCCTTCGAGGTGTTCTTGAATTGAGCGCCACTATATCCCTCCCAAATGAACCATAGTACACGGCTCAGGGTTACTTCAAAGACCATGGGTCAAACATTTGGACCATTAGGGAAATCGTCCTTTCTATAACAACAAAGTTGTTGACTTACCACCGACTGATTGACGGCTGAGGAATTTATCTTAGGAAACCAAAGGATAACCCACGTTGCTATGCACAGCTTGGCGTACTAAGCCCAACAAAATACGGCGACCAAGCCCAAGGGACCCACAAATAAACGGTGATCACCTTCTGGGGCCAGGTAAAATGGAAACCCAACCAGTCGATTCGCCTTGGGCAAGTAGATTACACCTCAGAAACAGCTTCTCTCCAATTGGTGGTTTGGCGCTTGGGTACGGTTTCTCATTTACCCTCTACAAGAACCAGGTCCCGACCCGTTCAAATCCCCCACCGCCGGGCTCCAAACCACCAAGTAGGCTCTACACCTCTTGGTGTGGTAGCAGAAAACCCGCGTTTTTTTTCTTCGCAGCCGCCCCCAAGTCAAAAAACATCGAAGAGAACATCAAACAAAAGAAGAAGAAACAAAAAAACAACTCGCCAAGACTTAAGTAGGGGTTACCTGATCAGAAACTAACGAGCCCAAATCGCGGAGCCGAGGTCTTCTATCTAATCTAATCTTATCTATCTATCTATATCTAACCCATCTATTTATCTATCTATCCATCCATATGTGATCTATCTATCTATCTATCTATCTAGTTATTCTAATCTATCTATCCTAATCTAACTCAGAAACATCTTCGCAGCCGCCGGCCCGAGGCCGAGATCTCCGATTCCACTTGCCTCAAGACAGACGCGCCCCCCCAAAAACCGTGGGGACCTGGACCGTCTGGACCCTCAAACTACCAAAAAAAAAACGGGATACTGCCCCACAGAGCCTAGAGGATAAAACTCCTGAGCTTTGCTGAGTAGCTTCTTTGGATCATATGTGAGCCACAGTGGACTTCGACGTTGGGAGCACAAAAAAGCAGATCGGAGAAAAAGAAGAAACACAACGCCCAAAACCAAAACCAACAAAACCAAACCAGACCACGGGTCATATCCCCCTGTGCTTTCCTTTGGACTTTCCGGAACAAACCCGTTTTGGAGGAGCAAAACCCCCTGGTTTTTGAAACAACCTGGCCTCGGGTGTCTGACTGGTCTGGAGCAAAAGGGACACCGATTTCTTCGTTGCCGCTTGGGCATATAAAAGGAAGCCCAGCCCAAGAAAAACAGGCGAAGCACGAAAAGACTAGGAGGGATCTTGAAATGGCTACCTAGAGTCTCCGTGACCCCTAGAATAAGGGGTCATGACCCCTTTCTTGTGGGCAATGACCCCATTTTTTAAGGGTCAGAAGGAGAGCTAGGTAGGGCTTTCAGATTGCCCATGCTTAACTGGGGACAAAGCTAACCATTCAGCTCAGTCCCGGACCATCTAAGCGATCTAAGTCTGGGTCCAAATAACCCTCTAATGGTGGCTTAAAAGGAAAGAACCCACAAAAGGTCATGTTGACAAGCCAGGAGAATCCTCACCTGGTGCCTTGAGGTTTGGAATTGGCACCCTTTTCGGCTTGGTTTTTGTTTCTGGAAACCACCAAAATTCAACTGCGCCAGACCCCGTGCCAAGGAGGGAGAGAGGCGCGCCTTGGTCTTGTCGTTCAGCTTCTGGGAGTCTGCCACCCAGGAGATCATGCGCATGTCTTGGCTTCGCCCGATCTTCTGCGGCCTCAGTTTTTGACTTGGGGGACTTTCGGGTTTTGCGGGTTCCCTCGGACTTTGTGGGGTTTATCCGTTATGTTATTATTATGTTTTGGTTGTTTTTCCCCCGTGTTTTCCTCCGTTGTTTGATTAGTCTTGTTGTTATTTCCGTTTTTTCTGTTTGTTTCCCTTTTTTGCTGGGGAACTCTGGGCTGGTACCCGGGGATTCTCTGGGATTCTAGATGCGGGGCTCGCTGGAAAGATGGATTTTGGAAATGGGGAAGTTGCTCGCATCGACAGGGGTCTAACACACAATTGCAGCAATGCTTCGGTTTTTCTTTTCTGGATCGACAGGATTCACACCATCACTAAAAAATGGTTGGGGCAATATAGCCCCCATTGCATGAGTTTGCCTGAGAAGTTTCATCTAAATCGGGTCAACCTTCTTCTTGCGGGGGTTGAATTCCACGAATTTCCGTGGGAGCCAAACAAATACTGCGCCGATTTGGGGCTGGTTAATGTGAGACAACCCGTGGCAGCTCATTGGAGTTTTGGTTGGCGTAGAGTTGGGGAAACAACGAGGCTGGTTTATAGCAATTCCACTGATGCGTCCCGGGCCGCCCAGGCGGGTGTGCAACTCCAGTACTTGAGTGCCCTAAGGGTCGATGGATCGTTTTGGGGCTCTCAAAACTGGTTGTTTTCAACGGCCCCTGAGGAACTGGTCGGGGTTCTCCATTAATCGGTCCGGGGGTGCATTGGAGGGGTCATGACCCTTCGGGTGGCGTATTTCACAGCCACTTTGTGGACTGCGCACACATACCGGTTTCTAAATGTTTCTAAAAAGGATCCAGCTCCAGATCGGACCGCGTCCGAACGGAACCCATGTGCGAACGAAACGAATTGGGCTCTGGCTCCAAAAAAAGGCTACCGGAACTGGGTTGTTACCGCGCAGTCTGAATATTCGATTCCGAGCCATAGTTTGCGGAATCGGCCAACATCGAGCCAATAGAAATCCGGGTGTGGTCCTTTTAAGGCCTTCTTGAGGGCTTATCCTTGCCGGGATAAGCCCATAGCCCCGCCCCCCCCCCTAGCCCTTCGCTAGGGGTCCGATTCCATGTTGCAATAGTATGGAATCCCTAAGGTAGGTAGTTGAGAGCCGCAGGGTCTGGGGTTCCTTAGTAACTTTAGGGAGCCTTCGGGAACCTCCACCTTGGACCACCCCCCCTCTGCACTGGATTCCCTAATCCCAAGTTGGTGGAACACCAGGGTTGTGGTTGATCACTCGGGGAGTTTATCCAACCACTTCTGTGATAGTTGTGCACATCTCCGCCTGAAAAACGGGGGTGGGGCGTTGAATGTCTTTGGCAGATTCGCGGATTCCATTTCAATCTCCCCCTGATATAAAAACGAGACGGGTTGCACGTCTTTGGGACAAACGCGTGGATTCCATGTCAACCCGCCGCGCAGTTGAACACCTCTCCTTCCAGTTGGTTATTCGACCCCTGGAAAAAAGAAAAAGACAACATATTTCCAGTGAAGTCGATTCCCTTTAAAACCGACAGGGGAAAGAACAAAAAACAAACAAAACATTTGGCTGCGGCTCAAAAAACCGGTACCAAAATGGCTTGCCCTGGTAAGTGGAAACCTGGACCAAAACCTGCGGTTTGCCCTCCTGGTGAATTTTGAGCCACACCCATTTCAGCAAGTGGAAGTCTCCTCTCCTCCGGGCTTCCCAGCTGGTGGGGAAGCTCTCCCACTTTGCTCCAGAAACCTCGGGTGCCGCGAGCTTGCGGGCGCTTGGGGATGACTTTCGGAGTTCCCGGTGGTTGAATGAGCCGGTTTTGGGAGGCCCCTTAAAGGCAACCACCCGGTTTTGTCTCCTTGAAGGAAACCACCAGGCTTTGTCCCCTTGAAGGAAACCACCAGGTTGTCCCCGCAAACCACAGGGGTTTGGGCTTCCCCTAAAAAAGGAACCCACCAGGTAGGGAATGACTTTCCGAGTTTCCCTGGGGTTGGCGCATCGGCGTCCCTTTAAGGGGGGAAATAGATGGGTTTCCCTGGTAGATGATGAAACCACTAGATCAGCCAGGAATCGCCATCTATTTAACAACCAACTGGGGACACCTATGTTGGTTGAATGAGCGCCGGTTTTCGGGGTCCCGAATCAAGGAAACCACCAGTTGGATGGTTTGAGGAGCCATGACTCATCTACATCAAAGGAATCGAACAAAGACTTTTGGCGGGAAAAACGAAAGTCCTACGCTGTTGAATTCACCTTTCACTTCTGGGGGGTTCTTGGACCGATTTCATTCTTGGAGCATCGCCCCGGCTGGCCAACTCATCTTGGGTCCAAGGGGGCTTCCGGTTGGCAGCCTCGACTTGGTTTTCCTCACGGTGGGAATCAACGTGCCAACCAACCATATTGGTTGACGAACAAGCCCGATTGTTTCTCAACAAAAAAAACTAGCGGCCATGGGAAAACCGTTTCGGTTGGAACTCAATCGTTGGTAAAGGCTCGTTATGACCTAAGAACAAGTGCACCAATGGAAACTTGAAGTTGAAATTGTAACAACGGCAGAAAACCCTCCGAGAGAACAAAAAGGAACAAGGAAGGCAGAATAAGCAGAAGAAGCAGAAGAAGCAGCAGAAGAAGAAGCAGAAGAAGAGGAAGAAGAAGAAGAAGTCGTCACTGCCAAACTTAGATGGTCTGAACTCTGGTTTCTAACCACTTTGTCCCAGTTAAGCTCTTGTGAACCCCCCCAGTTTCACTAAGAAGATGGGGTCATAATCAAATTAGATAGAATCTCACAATGTTCAGGATAAAATTGAAGTCCCTGGAGCCTCCTTCTCACTGTTAGAAAATGAACATGGGGTCACCTTCTCAAAATCAGGGGCGACTTTGCTTGGTTGACGTTGGAAGGGGAGCAAACATTTTATGTTTAAGCAGTTAAGTGTTGAGGATTTCCCACTAAACCACAATAAGAGAAATGTAAGATGTTTCCCAGCAACAACCATGTTTGAGTCTCCAAGTCTACGACCACCAACCCTCCTTCCCGGAACTGCTGCCACCAAGCCGTGTGTGACCTCCCGCTGCAAAGGCTCCTGGGCTCCGGGCGTTGGACGCGCCCCCCGGGTCTTGCAGCTCGTTGGGGGTAGTTCACGATGCGGGGGGTGAGGGTGCCACCCTTGCGGTTTAGGGAGAGCCCGAAAAAAAGGGCAAACAGCACAACCTGCTGTGGACGAAATCCATTTCGCACCACATAGGAATATCCCTGGAATGATTGGATTCCATGCACATACCAACAAACAGTGGTTTTCCATGATTTCAAAGCGGCGCGTTCGTCCCTCCACAGTAGGAGGGGAAGACCTCATTGTTTGAGGCTGCAAAAGGAGGACGCCCAAAGGCCCTCATCTTTGTTCGGGTCTTGGTCGAGGGACTTGAAACACCAAGGAGAGGGCCCAAAAAGTTTAAGCTTTTGACAGGGACCAAACCGAGGAGCCTTGGTTTTTTTGCGCGGGAGCGGGGTTGCGTTACCTTGGCCAAATGATTGGTTTACCACCCCCCCTTTTACAAAGGGAATGAAGTTGGATTTCCTAAACTTTCGAGTCTACCATAAGGGTCCAAAGAACTAGAATGGGATTCTGGGGCATTGTTGCACCACCAAAGTACCTCGTGATTCGACTTCATGTTCGTATTATTTAGGCCCTTAGCCATTACATTACTCTCGGGTTCATTCCCCATTCTGTTCCACAACTGTTCTTAGAAAGGAAAACCACCTGGAACTGCTTCTGACCCTTAAAACGGGGTCATGCCCCCTGGTGCTTGGTAGATGGGCCCCAATTTCGGGAAAGGGTCAGAAGGAGACTCCCGACACCTGTTTCCGCTACGCACTTGATAAGCTGGGACCTGGTGCATCGAGTGGGGTCCTTCAGCAGCAGGATGCTCTTCAAATAGTCGGTGCCGGCCGTGTCCTCGCGTGGAATGAAAATCCAACTGGGGCAGTTAAGTTATGGGTGTCTATCGAGTCTATCCACACCCTACTGTTTCAAGTCTCAGAGATTTGTCAAAGTGTTCTTGGTTCCAGCCAGCACTAAACAAAGACAACAAGCAAAAGTTCAAATGTTTGAAAGTTTGGTTCTGGACGTGTCAAATAGTAGGGGAAGTACAGCTGCAGTTTTAAACGTGCTGGAAGGTCTCAAGGGAGGCATGCAAGAGAAGAACAACAACAGACACAGGGTTCATCGGATTCATCTGCACAAAGCTAGCCTTCCCAAATTCATGGAAGCCACCTACGTCCAGGACATTTGCACAACCTCCTGCGTGTGGCGAATACTCAGCCAACTACAAGTATATTCTTTGGTAGCTGGTTTCTATGGCAAGTTTGTTTGATTCTGGCCCATAGAGAGTGAATCGTTGAACTTATGATACTCCCAGAAAAGGTTGTCTCTGGTTCAGTCTTTGAATCCATGTGTGTCATCTTCAAAACTCCTTATTTTCATGGCTCTTTTCACAGGAACTTTCACATTGGTTGTCTAAAATCCCTAAGAGGTTGATCACAATTACCATCCACCGTGAGAAAAGGAACCGGTATGTTTTGAGGTTGGACTCCCCAAACAGGTGCCTTTCCTCTTGGCGTCCCTGTAACAACCACACAAAAAGGGGTACCAAGTCTCTACAAAAAGACACACGCATGGGTATACGTAGTGGTTCTGTATGGCTTTCCCTACCAAACGAAAAGATACCCTGCAGAAAAAGGAACCCTTCCCATTGACAACCAAACAAGAAAGAGTGGTGGTTCGCCTCTTGGTTTCCTTTTGAAACTACGAAAAAGGGATACCCTTCGCCTCAACAAATTCGCCAGACCCAAGAGAGTACGCAGCTCTTCCATGGCTTTCATATCCGAAAGAAAGAAGTGATGTGCTTCGTGTCCCTTGAAAACACACACACACACAAACAAAAAAAACACAAGTACCTAGAGTCTCCGTGACCCCTTGAAAATGGGGTCATGACCCCATTATTTTGGGCAATGACCCCATTTTTTAAGGGTCATGGAGACTCAAAAAACAGATTGGCGCTTCACCTTTCAAATCCAAACATGCAAAATAATAAGGAAAGAGAAGAAACAACAACGGGATTCCAAACAAAAAAGCCTTCGCCTCAAAACAGGGGTAGCCTTAAATCAAGGGTACCAAACAAAAAAGCCTTCGCCTCCAAAGAAGGGGTTCCCCTTTTTTGTTGCCCCATGGCGGGGGTTTCTCGCTCCTGCTGGTGCCCAGCCACGGATTCGGCCAGGTCCTGAGCGCTTGCTTCTGATGCCCACGACAAGAGACGAGGCGCGGATGTCAAAGCGGATGCAACCAAAAAAAAACGAGACTCCAGGTACCCTCTTTTTTGAGGCGAAGGGTTTTGTGGTTGGAATCCCTTTTGTATTTTGCCATGCTGTGTTCAAGGCACACAAGAGACATCATGTCTTTTTCTGGGAACCCTACAATTTCCTTGGTAAGGTGACTTCACCATGGTGAAATGGATAACTTAAGAACGTGAACTTCACCATGGTGAAAAAGATAACGTGAGGCAACAGGAGCCACTTGGACTGATGCAACCAACGTGAGGTGAGGTTTTCCACCATGGTGAAATAGATAACGTGAGGCAACCTTAGACCCCTTGGACCGACTTCATTAGAGGCCGGAAAAGGGTCTTGGTTAAAGACCACCAAGGTGAGGTAAGGTGGCTTCACCGTGGTGAAATGGATAACTTAAGAACGCGAGCTTCACCATGGTGAGAAAGATAACGTGAGGCAACAGGAACCCCTTGGACTGATGCAACCAACGTGAGGTGAGGTTTTCCACCATGGTGAAATAGATAACGTGAGGCAACCTTAGACCCCTTGGACCGATTTCATTAGAGGCCGGAAAAGGGTCTTGGTTCAAGACCCTCATATATAGGGTCCAAGGGCCTAGAGGAGGTTACTTCACAATGGCGAAATAGATAACTTGGGTAAGAGGGCTCGGACAACTTACCATGGTAACGTAACTCGACCGCTTCCCTCGACAATTGGTTGTGAGGAAGAGGATGTGATTTTGAGTTGTATGATGCTACTTGTAACCGCTCAATCAACCTCCTTTTGTCAGCTTCCCTCGAAAAGAATCGGTGGTTTGGAGCCGAATCGGTGGTTTGGTGGTGAAACGGACGGGCTTCCCAAATGTACCCTCTACAAGAACAAGGGAGCCATTCTAATTCTTTCAACCACCAATCCAAAACCACTCCCTGGAATTTTCAAGCACCATTCACCAAAGCCATGGTTGAAAGTCCGGTGGCCTATGTTTGAGGGTAACTGTTTTAGCGTGCCAGACCAAAGCGTGACTTTGCCTCGATCATGACCAACCATTGTTAAAGGGTCATGGAGAGTCTAGGTACTTGTACGGTTGAAATCGGGAAGTACGGCCAACCTTGGCGCAGCAAAGGATGTCTCAGATTGTGATGTTTGACACCAATTCTCAGCCAAGGGTCATTCCCGGCAGGCTCGGGCATCATCTGGGACATGTCGTGCATTGGCATCATCTGTGTCATTGGCATCATCCCCATCCACTCAGAAGGCTCCATTGGTGCCTCAGGCAGGAATCAGCCAAATTCACGTCTCCTAGTAATCAGAACCCCGACCCCTCAGGGGCCGTTGAACACGACCGGTTTTGAGGGCCAAACAATCGAGACCCTTCGGGTCTTCCGGGGCTTTGGTAAAGCTACTCCTACCCTTTGGCCACACCACACCTTCAGTAGTTTACTCTTCTCCAGACAGCTGGGCTCTTCAAAATGGGGTGAAAACCACTACCTAGAGTCTTCGTGACCCCTAGAAAAATGACCCCCTCTCTTTTGGGCAATGACAATTTGTTTAAGGATCATGGAGAGTCTAGGTACAAAGGGGACCACGTTCGCCAATAGAGGCAAGGATCTTGCGGATTGCCTTTGAACAGCCTAGAGGGGTGCGCTTTTGGGGGGTGGTATGTTTTTCATGCTTGGGACCCCCAAAGTCACTCAACCAGAACCCTTGCTCCTCGCAGTGACTAAGTCAGGCATACCTGGACCAACCGAGGGTGCTTCTTTGCGAATGTCCGGAAAGATCCGTGCATTTGCATGAAACCCGGGGCAGAATTGTCCCTGCGTTTCCCGCCGATTTCCGTACTTTTGGCGTCGATTTCCCTACTTCTCCTGCCGATGTCCGGGCATTTCGGGTTTCTGCATTTTGGCAGAGAAAACGTCAAACTTGCACAGGCGTCAAGGTCACACGTCGCCTCAATGAAGCGGAATTAAGTATGAGAGGCCATATGAACTGCAAACTGTGCATCAGTGCATCCAGGAACACCGCAAACGCTCAAAGCCAGTTAAAGGCGATGTCCGTCAAATGTCCTAAGAACTGTTCATGCACGGTGTTTTTTTCCCCGGACATGTACGGAAAATGTCAGTACTCTCGGAGAGTCCAGGTATAGGTTCGTCGTTTTTTTGAGGCTCGGTACCCCTGTTTTTAGTGCGTTTCAAAGGGGCACCAAAAGGAAAACCAACCATTGCTTCAGGGTACCCCTTTACAAACTGGTTTTAAAGGCAAACCAAAAGGAAAAATCACTCAAAGTCACTCAAAATGGGGGGTGCCCCAGTTTGAGGCGTCCCTGCTCCCGTTGCAATGCGTCGCTGTTCCCCCAAAAAGATCGACTTCCGATCTTGCGGCTGCGCCGGGAAGCCGCACTCAAAGGGTCCCCAATTGGCCCAGTCCGAAACGGAACCTGCCCTCAGATCCCGTGCTAAAAGTGACTAACTTGTAGTGGGCTAAATTCGGAAACTACCACTAAACACTAACAAGCTAAAAGGCCAAGGGGGATGGCTGGGAGCCACCAAGCACTCAAAGTGTGCGGAGTTTGAGGTTGTTGGGCCCATATTGGCCTTTGGGGTACCCAACGGCCTCAAATTCTTGGGCTCCTAGGCTGAGGAAGCCAAATGGAACACCTAAGACTCTAGGAACCCTTCTTGAGATTCCTTCTTGAGATTCCTTTCTGGAACACCTAACCCTTCTTGAGATTCCTGTCTGGGCAAACAAAAAAAAAGAACCCGGCCGCCGGCCTGTCCCGTGTGCGCGATGGGCACGAACACAAAAGGGTGCATGCCGTAAGACGTCACTGTACCTCCAATCGATTCAAGGCCCGACGGGTGCGCAGGAAACTTGCCCCCCCTACTCCACATACCCACTTTTGCTGGGGTATTTGGTGGAAAAGCCCCAAGCCCTGGGGAAGTTAATCATTTACAGACATATAGCCCGTGTTACCCAAAAAGTTGAAAAGTTGTGTTTTTAAGAGGTAAGCAGGGTTTCCATTGTAAATACCTTCTTTTGTAGTAGCGGGTCGACATCATACCCTAGAGAAAGGTACAGCAAACATACTGTGGATGTGGATGGTAAAGTGAAATCCGCGAGTCTCGCACCACGAAATGAAACCATGGTTGAAACAATTGATTGTTTGCTATTTGCAGGATTTCAGGTTTCTTGGGTGAAGGATTTCGTCCATCCACAGTAAGTATGTGGGAAGAGTCTGTTCATAATCCCATGTGAAAGTCTAAGGTCACAAGGGAGATTCCGGTTTGAGTGTTTTCTCCAACAGCTATTCGGTCAAGAAGCAACAATGCACAATGTTTCCCAACACCACCCATGTGTATGGCTGGGAGCGTCCACAAACCTGCCACAATAAGTTCAACCATGTAAACTGTTTCCCAACAACCATGGAGTAGCCAGTTGTTTCTCACTTGCCCAGACCTGGTAGAAGGTTCACCCTTCTCTAGTGCTACCTTCCATTTCCATTCTGAACCCAGGGGTCCGAATTTCTTTCTCAACGGCCGGTTGAGAAGAACGATGCTCGGTTGCGAAATCTGCGAAGCCCTGCTAAAAGTGACTCACTTTTAGTGGTTTAATACGGAAAACCCATTAGTTGGCAAAAAGTTAAAGTCCTAACAGCCAGGGAAAATGCACCAAAGGATGGTTGGAAAGAATGGACAAGGAATCAACCCTTAGACTTTTGGAACAAATCGGGGAAACCAAAAGGTTCAAAGGTTGGCCCGAGGACAACCTAGATAGCCAAGTTGCTGCTTTGTTCAGACACGGCTGCTGGTGTCTGGGGTAAAGTGCATGGAAAAAGCGATCGCAACTGGGGATCCAGGAAGCGAGTGTTTCTTGCAACAACTCACATATCCCAAAGCTGTGATTGTGCTGAGCTCGAGCTATGGTAGCGTGATTTGTCCTGAATCTAGGGATTCGGCAGGTCCCTTGCCAGCTTTGTCCTCAAACCTTCCGTTGAGATTTGGGTGTGTCTTGCTTAGACCCCCCTTTTGGGTGGCTGTTCTTGTATTTAAGGCAAGGACCTTGGATAAGAGCAGAAAATTCGACTTCAATCAGGAGGTTCAATAATGACAACGCAGATTTCTTCCTGACTCTTCGCATGTTTGAAACACCTACATTGACTCCTCAGGGAATCCTGCGCGGGAACAGCCCTGGGCAGCCAGTGACAACAATCCTCTAATTGCTTAAGCCCGATGGAAAAGCAACAAATCCGCCCCACAAGCACAGCAGGCAGTGGGGTGGTTCATTCCAAATGGACGTGGAATTTTCAGGAACTCTGCTCTGCATTTGCCAGTTTTCAGCATCAGAAGTCCACTGAAAAGCCTTCTTTCCTGATCGGAAGCCGGGGTTTATCCGGCGACGGTTGACATCTGTCCAGAATTCCCCGTGCAGCTCGCCAGATGCATCCAGGAGAAACGCCAGTGGTGAGTAACCTTGAAGTTCTACCTAGACTCTCCCTGACCCTTGCAAAATGGGTCCAGGACCCCTTAATTTTGGGTAATGCCCCTATGTTTTTAAGGGTCATGGAGACTCCAGGTACACTGATTGTTATAAGGTTGTAGGTCCCCTAAGCGGGCAAACAAATAAGGTTACTATCTGTTTCGATCCAACTTCCAGACCTATGCAGTGAAGCCCAAAGGCTTGGGTATGAAATCCCGAGGAATGTCTCCCACCCCCAAAGCCCTGGAACCCTCCGTAACTTTCGGTCAAAGCCAAACCGAAGCCTCCAGGAACTGAGGCCGAACGTGACATGCTGAGTCCGGCCCGAAACCTAAGCTTTCTGGGCCTGATGAAATCCAGGCCTGATGAAATCCACAGCTGGAGAGCTAAGCCCAGCCAATTTTATTATCTTGCGAATGCCTCCGAGAAAGACAGAGAAAACCCATTCAGTGAACTCGAATCATTCCCTTCAAACATCAACAGGGGAACACATACAATTCATGGGTGTGTCTTTCTGTGGAGGGTACCCCTCCTGGTGGTTGTCAAAGGGAAAACAACACTTCTTCTTCTTCTTCTTCGTCTTCCTCTTCCTCTTCTTCTTCTTCTTCTCCTTCTTCTTGTTCTTCTCCTTGTCGTTTTTCCCAAAAGCATCTCTGATGCTTGGGTTCTGCTTTAGGTTTTCTCTTAAGGTGCCTGGGAGCGATACAAGCTGTGACGACGGAGATAAGAAGGGATTTCCATTTCGTTGTGCTGCACGGCTGGGGGTGCAGACCGGGCGTACGAGGCTGGGTGGGGGGACGGCGGTGTGGGGCTGGCTGGGGGGACGGCGGTGTGGTGCAGACTGGGTGCGCGAGGCTGGCTGGAAACTGCCCGCGAGCGACTGGCTGGCTGGGGGGACGCAGACTGGGCGTCGCGAGCGAGACTGGCTGGCTGGGGGGACGGCGGTGTGGTGCAGACTGGGCGCGCGAGGCTGGCTGGAAACCGCCCGCGAGCGAGACTGGCGCGGTGGACGCTCGTGACATGCGGAATCCGCCCGCGAGCGAGACTGGCGCGGTGGACGCTCGTGACATGCGGAAACCGCCCGCGAGCGAGACTGGCGCGGTGGAAGCTCGTGACATGCGGAAACCGCCCGCGAGCGAGACTGGCGCGGTGGACGCTCGTGACATGCGGAAACCGCCCGCGAGCGAGACTGGCGCGGTGGACGCTCGTGACATGCGGAAACCGCCCGCGAGCGAGACTGGCGCGGTGGACGCTCGTGACGCTCGTGACATGCGGAAACCGCCCGCGAGCGAGACTGGCGCGGTGGACGCTCGTGACATGCGGAAACCGCCCGCGAGCAAGACTGGCGTGGTGGACGCTCGTGACATGGGGAAACCGCCCGCGAGCGAGACTGGCGCGGTGGACGCTCGTGACATGCGGAAACCGCCCGCAAGCCTGGAGACTCCGACCATGCGCTTTGGACACCGTGGTTTCGAAACACATGTCAGGGTTGGCGATGAACGAAGCGCTCTGTTTTGCGTCTCCATGGTGCGTGCTGCGCAAAAGCCTCGCCACGCCATGTGTACACTCGCAAGTCCTGTCCTTGCAAGGCGCAACACCTGTGAGCTGTGACAGAGTTGACGGACAGCTGTGACAGAGTTGTGACAGACAGCTGGTCTCCATGGTGCGTGCTGCGCAAAAGCCTCGCCACGCCATGTGTACACTTGCAAGTCCTGTCCTTGCAAGGCGCAACACCTGTGAGCTGTGACAGAGTTGACGGACAGAGTTGTGACAGACAGCTGTGACTGAGCACGCAGAGTCAACAACTGGGTGATGTTCGCAATAAGGTAGAAAGTTTCAGGGGGAGATGTAGGCAACAAAACATGTGTCACAAATCAGGGCTCCTTAAAAGAAACATTTTGCCCCTTTAAAGCATGTCTTTTTCCGCCGAAACTCAGGGAAACCGCCAGTTACAAGGCAATGTTCAGACGCATACATCAGGGACTTCTATGTTAGCATTTATCAAAAGCCTGGTTTTTTCGACTAACTTACAAAAAAAATAAAAGCTTCGGAGCTTCCTGTTTAACTCCAGGGAGTGTAACAAAAAGGGATCCCTGCAAATCCCTTTCACGCTGGAAGAGTTTCTTTCTTTTGGGGGCCTCGAAGGACGTAGTGAGAAAGAAGCTGGAAAGTCACCATGGCGTTATAGGTCGCAGCCATCATGCCACACAAAGAGCAATTTGGCTCACGCATTTATTAAGGGAAACCCTCGAACTAAATAGCTTGCCTTGCTTGTTTTTGCGGAGCACACAAGCCCTTGCGGGTATTGCGTGCCAAAGCCTGGGCGGCGCCGCGCCACTCAGTTTTTTTTCTCCAGCTGTGGGCCGGCTCTTGCGAGCGCATGGCGCTGCCTGCGGGCAGTTCGCGGGGTGCTCCTTGCCGGGTTTCTGCGCAAGCTGTTGTTCCAGTTCAAAGCCCTTGCGCCGGCCTTTTTTTTGTACGAAAACACAGGTAAGCAGAGTTGAAAGCTCTATGACACGTTGGCCTCTCTTCCTCTTCCTTATCAAAATTACATGTAGGGCACGCAATGACAGCGACGGCCCTCCAAACAGATTTCGCAGCTTTTGGGGCGCGGTCTCGTGTTTCAAACGCCATGGCGCTGAATGAGGGGGAGCCCAACAACAACAAGTGTCATGATAAGCGACAGCCGTGGAGGAGTTGCCGTTCGGGGCCTAGACTTGGCAAGCGCCCAACATGCTGAACTCACGGGTGTCTATTACACAGTGTTTTGCTCTTGTCTGCCCAGGGCCTGGGAGAGTGCCGTGGACGGAGGAGATGGTCGCTGCTTGCACCAAAACAACAAGATTTCCCTTGCCACGTGTTTCTAGGTTCTTTAAGAGTTTTAGCAGGGCATCCCTGCTCGCATCAAAACAACAACATCTTCCCTGCTACGTGTTTCTAGTAGGCCCTTTAAGAATTTTAAGAGGGCATCATATCCCACCAAGTCAAATTGCTGTAGTTTCCCGTCTTGGCCATGGACCAAGGCCGATCACGCCAAAGCCCTGCTAGAGGGCCTGCCAGAAAACGTTCGAAAGCTGGTCAAATCCGAAGACTGGAAAGGTGGCTCTTTAGTTCAAGTAGAGGACCTTCACTCTCGACCCTCGGCCAACGACTTGAAAATAAACTACGCGTTCTTGAGCCCTTTGGTCAAAAAGATACCTGACAAGGCGCGCTTCCAAACAAGAATGCGGCTTGATAAAGGTTGTCAGCTAGCGCCCCAAAATGTTCAGCACAATCTTTCAATGCGTCTAGTCTTGTTCAACTTCGCCCCAACTCCCTCAGGTGCCAAGTGGATATTTCCTGACGGATGTGGTGCTG